GGAGAGTGAGTGACAATGTCAGGCTGATGTCGGGGGAGAGTGAGTGACAATGTCAGGCTGATGTCGGGGGAGAGTGAGTGACAATGTCAGGCTGATGTCGGGGGAGAGTGAGTGACAATGTCAGGCTGATGTCGGGGGAGAGTGAGTGACAATGTCAGGCTGATGTCGGGGGAGAGTGAGTGACAATGTCAGGCTGATGTCGGGGGAGAGTGAGTGACAATGTCAGGCTGATGTCGGGGGAGAGTGAGTGACAATGTCAGGCTGATGTCGGGGGAGAGTGAGTGACAATGTCAGGCTGATGTCGGGGGAGAGTGAGTGACAATGTCAGGCTGATGTCGGGGGAGAGTGAGTGACAATGTCAGGCTGATGTCGGGGGAGAGTGAGTGACAATGTCAGGCTGATGTCGGGGGAGAGTGAGTGACAATGTCAGGCTGATGTCGGGGGAGAGTGAGTGACAATGTCAGGCTGATGTCGGGGGAGAGTGAGTGACAATGTCAGGCTGATGTCGGGGGAGAGTGAGTGACAATGTCAGGCTGATGTCGGGGGAGAGTGAGTGACAATGTCAGGCTGATGTCGGGGGAGAGTGAGTGACAATGTCAGGCTGATGTCGGGGGAGAGTGAGTGACAATGTCAGGCTGATGTCGGGGGAGAGTGAGTGACAATGTCAGGCTGATGTCGGGGGAGAGTGAGTGACAATGTCAGGCTGATGTCGGGGGAGAGTGAGTGACAATGTCAGGCTGATGTCGGGGGAGAGTGAGTGACAATGTCAGGCTGATGTCGGGGGAGAGTGAGTGACAATGTCAGGCTGATGTCGGGGGAGAGTGAGTGACAATGTCAGGCTGATGTCGGGGGAGAGTGAGTGACAATGTCAGGCTGATGTCGGGGGAGAGTGAGTGACAATGTCAGGCTGATGTCGGGGGAGAGTGAGTGACAATGTCAGGCTGATGTCGGGGGAGAGTGAGTGACAATGTCAGGCTGATGTCGGGGGAGAGTGAGTGACAATGTCAGGCTGATGTCGGGGGAGAGTGAGTGACAATGTCAGGCTGATGTCGGGGGAGAGTGAGTGACAATGTCAGGCTGATGTCGGGGGAGAGTGAGTGACAATGTCAGGCTGATGTCGGGGGAGAGTGAGTGACAATGTCAGGCTGATGTCGGGGGAGAGTGAGTGACAATGTCAGGCTGATGTCGGGGGAGAGTGAGTGACAATGTCAGGCTGATGTCGGGGGAGAGTGAGTGACAATGTCAGGCTGATGTCGGGGGAGAGTGAGTGACAATGTCAGGCTGATGTCGGGGGAGAGTGAGTGACAATGTCAGGCTGATGTCGGGGGAGAGTGAGTGACAATGTCAGGCTGATGTCGGGGGAGAGTGAGTGACAATGTCAGGCTGATGTCGGGGGAGAGTGAGTGACAATGTCAGGCTGATGTCGGGGGAGAGTGAGTGACAATGTCAGGCTGATGTCGGGGGAGAGTGAGTGACAATGTCAGGCTGATGTCGGGGGAGAGTGAGTGACAATGTCAGGCTGATGTCGGGGGAGAGTGAGTGACAATGTCAGGCTGATGTCGGGGGAGAGTGAGTGACAATGTCAGGCTGATGTCGGGGGAGAGTGAGTGACAATGTCAGGCTGATGTCGGGGGAGAGTGAGTGACAATGTCAGGCTGATGTCGGGGGAGAGTGAGTGACAATGTCAGGCTGATGTCGGGGGAGAGTGAGTGACAATGTCAGGCTGATGTCGGGGGAGAGTGAGTGACAATGTCAGGCTGATGTCGGGGGAGAGTGAGTGACAATGTCAGGCTGATGTCGGGGGAGAGTGAGTGACAATGTCAGGCTGATGTCGGGGGAGAGTGAGTGACAATGTCAGGCTGATGTCGGGGGAGAGTGAGTGACAATGTCAGGCTGATGTCGGGGGAGAGTGAGTGACAATGTCAGGCTGATGTCGGGGGAGAGTGAGTGACAATGTCAGGCTGATGTCGGGGGAGAGTGAGTGACAATGTCAGGCTGATGTCGGGGGAGAGTGAGTGACAATGTCAGGCTGATGTCGGGGGAGAGTGAGTGACAATGTCAGGCTGATGTCGGGGGAGAGTGAGTGACAATGTCAGGCTGATGTCGGGGGAGAGTGAGTGACAATGTCAGGCTGATGTCGGGGGAGAGTGAGTGACAATGTCAGGCTGATGTCGGGGGAGAGTGAGTGACAATGTCAGGCTGATGTCGGGGGAGAGTGAGTGACAATGTCAGGCTGATGTCGGGGGAGAGTGAGTGACAATGTCAGGCTGATGTCGGGGGAGAGTGAGTGACAATGTCAGGCTGATGTCGGGGGAGAGTGAGTGACAATGTCAGGCTGATGTCGGGGGAGAGTGAGTGACAATGTCAGGCTGATGTCGGGGGAGAGTGAGTGACAATGTCAGGCTGATGTCGGGGGAGAGTGAGTGACAATGTCAGGCTGATGTCGGGGGAGAGTGAGTGACAATGTCAGGCTGATGTCGGGGGAGAGTGAGTGACAATG